GCTTCTGAGTCTACCACTGACTAATTTGACTTTATCTGTCAACCATTAGTAGCTCTCACACATACGATGAGGCAATAGCATTCCAGAATCCTTGGCTTCCTTCCAAACTGCAAAGAAAACAAATTCTTGTTTCAATTCCACTTTTACGGTAGTACTTTTGATGGTAACTCTTATTCAGGTGCTCACTGTACGCTAGGCTCTCAGCGCCAACAGCAGTAGAAGAAAACAGCGTAAACTCAATTGGCGTCACATCACTGTGAATGGGTTACTATAGAAGAACACAGTCCCTCTGAATCTGCGTGCATGTGATCGCAGATGCTGTGATGTATCTTTGCACACTGTGTCTATCTGTGGCACGTAGAAGAGTGTTTCTAAAAGTAAACCACAAACACGTGTAATTCAACACCACAGAGCCACTAAGTAGAGCCAATTGTCATCTGTGTCATCTAGTCCTGTGTCATCTAGCCCTATATGGAGGAGTGATGAGAACAGCAGGAGGAAAAAGCAACATAGAAAAACAAAAGGAAAAAGATATAGTATACAATGAGCCGCTTATCAGGAACTGAATGGATGTGAATGATAAATTGCTTTTATGAGCAAAAGAAATAGAGTTACTTCTGAAAAATTGACCCAGGCAACTTCATCTTCCTTATGCTGCAGGCAATTTATCCTGCTCATGATTTTCTCTTACTAGATGTATGAACCTAAATGCCAGATTGCCCAAAGTATAATGCTTACTTGGAGTGGGTTGCAATGGAATTACGCATGCCAGAATAAACTTGGCCATCAGGATTAATATCAAGGGTTTTCAAAGGTCAGTGACAAGGGTGGCGCCATCCAAGATGGGTCAATTGCCCAGCAGATACTCTTACAGAAGGATTTTTTGTGTAAAGTCGTGATGGTTGTTATACAAGGTTGTGGTTCTGGCAAAATCGTTTATAATAGTTCTTGCTACCAGGCATAAGCATGCCAAGCATAATCACTCCCTTGTTGACTTCTTGGATTTATGTATTTCTTATTTTGCTGTTATGAAGCCACGCAGGTGGCTCTGTTTTGTCTTTGACAACTTTCTCATCTGAGATGTCGTTGTTAGGAGCCTACTTTCTGTGACTGCTGCAAAAGCTTCCAGTTCTTTCTTGCCATAATCATAACCCAAAATCACTTTCAAATTCTCTTCCTCTTCACAATTAAAGTCTCCTTTCTAGGTGACAATTTGCAAACAGATGGACACGTATTTCATTGATCAAAATTCTCCTCTGTGTTTCTTTTCTCCTTTACGCATGATTCAAAGAACAGAATTGTGGAGTCCTTATGGTGACTTTTGAGGGTATCTGATATCCATATCCCAACTGAAAAAAGAAACTTTTCTGTGACTAGTAAGACTCTGCTGCAAAGAGAAATTATCTTAAAGGATTGTCTTTAAATTGAGCAAAAAATTACTGCCATGGGGTCAGTGCTGTGACAGAATATGTTAACCCGCCACCTGCAAAGCTGTCATCTCTTATGTATGGGTGTGGTTCAATTTCCACCTGTTCTGAGTTCAATCCTGCTCCCTGGGAAAGCAGCATAAGAGACCTAGAGTGTTTAGGCCCCTATAGGAAAGCTAGAAGAAACTCTGGAATCCTGGCCCAGCCCTGGCCACTGTGGCCATGTAAGGAATGAACCAGCATGTGAGTTTGCATCTTTTTCTGTCAAGATAAGGAGTCTGCTTCTTCCACCCATTAAATCTGTGTCGGCCTTGATTGCCCAGTAGGATGTGATGAGAAGGACAACGTTCAGTTGGGAATCGAGGCTTGTTACCCCTTTGAACTCTGCCTAACCATCCTGTAAACAGTCCAGGGTAATGGATAAACAGAAGCACGTGGATTTATCAGCCCACTGCACAGTAAGCTAACTGGCCCACGTGTGACTGAGGTCATTCTGGATCAGCTAACCCTGTTGGCCAGTTAGCTGCCCACAGATCCATGGGTGAGCCCAGAAAGAAATCAGTATCATCTGTTCTCTAACTTCAGATATAAAACCAAGTTATTGTGTGTTAAACCATTGAGTTTTGGAATGCTGTATCATGCAGCAAAATAGCAGACACAGTCAGCAATGTCCAGTTATATTTGTTCTTATTCATTCCATAATTCTGTTTTAGACATATTCATGTCTTTGATCTTGAATATGGTTTTCTCCCAGAAATGTTTCCCTTCCTTGTGGAAAGTGAAGGATATTCATTATCAAGCCTAATACCTGATATTCAAATAACAAGAAGGTCTTCAGAAAGATCATGGGACACGCAGATCATGAAAACGACTATGCATGGAATTCAGTTTTTCCCCAAGGAAATTATTCACCTTAGCACCTTTTTACCACAAATTTTTTGAAGAAGCTCCCTGTCTCCTGTTTTAGCAGGAACTAAAGCCGGCTGACAATGAAGGCCTGACAATAACAACAAAAATGTCTTTCCAAAAGTGAATATAAACACAAAGCGAATAGAGGCCAAGTGCTATAATATCATGGGCCTGGTTTGAGTTCCAGTTTGATCTGCAAGATGATCCTAGAGAATACAGTGTCCTTGGATATAAAAGAAAGTAATTGATAGAGATAAATGTTTTTTTTTTAAAGTTTGTCTATTTGCAAAGCAGAGTGATAGAAAGAGGACAAGACAAAGAGGTCTTCCATCTGCTGGTTCCTTTCTGAAATAGCAACAACAGACCAGGCTGGGCAGTCAGGAGCCTGGAACTCCATCAGGGTGCCCCACATGGATGGCAGGGTGCAAGTATTTGGGCATATTTTCCCACCTTCCCAGGTGCAGGAGCACGGAACTGGATCAGAAACAGAGCAGCAGGACTCAAACCAGGGCTCTGAAATGGAATGCTAGTGTCACAAACAGAAGCGTAATTCAGCATCACAACCAGCCCCTATGAGGTAATTATTAATATTAAAGAGTTGATATCGCTAACACATTTTATAATTAGACGCTGAATTAATCCTCGACTGCTTTCCCAGGCCACAAGCAGGGAGCTGGATGGGAAGTGGGGCTACTGGGATTAGAACCGGCGCTCATATGGGATCCCAGCGAGTTCAAGGCGAGGACTTTAGCCTCTAGACCACCGTGCCGGGCCCCATGGCTTTTTAAAATAAAGATTTATATCTTTTTATTTGAAAGGCAGATCAGATTTATGAAGAGAAAGAGAGACAGAGAGAAAGATCCTCCGTCCGCTGACTCCCACTCCAATTGACCACGATGGCTGGAACTGGGCTGATCTGAAGCCAGGAGCCAGAGCTTCCTCTGGGTCTTTTAAGCAGGTGCAGGGTCCCAAGGCTTTGGGTCATCCTCTCCTGCTTTCCCAGACTACAAGCTAGATGGTAAATGGAGCAGCCAGGACATGAACAGGCACCTATAGGGAATTCCAGTGCTTGCAAAGCAAGGATTTACCAATTGAGCTATTGTGCCAGTCCGAAATCATGGCTTTTTAAAGTAAGGAATTTTAACCAGAAGGCAAAAGTATGAGTATTGACTTGGATTGCTATATGTCTTATATGGCAAGCCACATGAAATTCAATCATTTTGATATCAAAGAATAGAATTTTATAACTTGTTAAATGCAATATATCGTCTGAGATAAAATATATACTCTTTACATCTTAATTATTCATGCCACTATGATGAAAGAGAAAATTTCAAGGATTCTAATATTGAAAGACGCCTCTCAGATGCAAAGAGAAAAAAGAAAGTCATTTTGAAGATGGAAAAGTCAGCAGATCTGCCACCTTCTCGATGTTAAAGAACAGAAAGTAGCCTGATCACACATATTTGTAATATTAGTTGGTTCCACTGGGGGGCAGTGTAACACAGTAGATGAACTAGGCCTTGGCCACTGAAGATTCGTGTACAAGACTCGGGACACATTGATCTGTAATTCTGACTTTCTAGGTCATGTGGCAAGTGGAAATACTATCTGTCATGACCATGTCGCATGAGAATTATATGAAAGCTGCATTAATGCTTTACTTCTCATTTTTCAAAACATTATTCACTGCAGTGCCTGTGATTGTGTAACAGTAAACACTAAAATCAATAGAAAAAAAAAGTTACTGATGAACAGTTACAAAACGGTTCCCACCCACCCTCCTTTCCCACATCCCATTAGTCTGTGACTCTGCCACAACATGAACTGTCTTCTTTTAGCTGTCAGATGCTAAGAGTCAGCTCTACAATGAAAATACAGGCCCGTGTGGTGGCATAGCAAGCTAATCTTCTGGTTGCAAGTGGCAGCATTCCACTTGGGGTCTGTTTTGTGTCCTGGCTGCTCCACTTCCTGTGCCGCTCTCTACTTACGGCCTGGAAAAGCAGCGGGGTATGATCAGAAGCCTTGGGACCCCACAGGCCTGGGGGGCCAGGAGGAGACCTCTGGCTCCCATCTTTGGATGAGCTCAGACAGCTGTGGTCATCTGGGGAGTGAACTAGTAGATAGAGCTCCTCTCTCCTTGTCTCTCCTTCTGTCTGTGTAAAAATCTGCTTTTCAAATAAACATAAATAGATCTTTTTAAAAAAAATCTCAACATAAGGAAAATACAAATCCAATGTAACATGAAATGTCAGAATATGTTTAAGTAGCAGGATGATGGACTGTGACTGTTGTTGAGGGACTGTTGTTACAATATAGGGGAAAACAGTGGGGGATAGAGGGGAAAAGAGGAAATCCCTGGATCTAAAGAACTGTATCATGAAAAATAAAGAATTCATAAAATGCAGAACGTTAGAAAGCCTGGGAAGTCATATTAGGAATTTGTTTAAGTCATAGCCAAAATTACCGTCACATGAGAGAACATCATAATTAGACAAGTTAATTACTCAAATGCGGAACATCAATGGGAACGTAAAAGTATTGGTTGGTGTCTCAAAAAAGGATGAGTGTAACCACACTCAAGGTGAAGTTATGCTATCGTGATTGTGTTGAAAGATAACAGCCCCGTAAAGATTGCAGCACTATTCTTTGCTGACTCTAAGAATGAACGCCTGTCGAGCCATGCCAACCTGGGCCAAGCAGGGGCCAGGTACGTGAATCCCAGGAACAGGGGATCTGACAGGCTTTGGTAAATTGGCTCAGGCCATGAGGTCCACATATGTGGTGGCGGATGGGTTCCTGTGCCGTGGGGGACAGGGGAACTGGTGGCATGTGGGTCACCTGGCCCAGATCCTGGGGCCTGCCTGCTAGTTTGGCGTTGGTTTCATGAACCCCGGGGTGGGGAATCTGGTGGGTCTTGGATCTCCTGGCCTGGGTTCCAGGGCTGGCATACTAGGTGGGTGTCTGGTTGTTGAGCCCAGGGGTTGGGGAATCTGGCGGGGCTTGGGTCTGCTGGCCCAGGTATCAGAGCCCTCCTACCAGGCGGGTGACAGGTTCATGTGCCCCAGGGGAAGGGGATTCGGGGATGCTTGGGAAACCTGGCCCAGCTACTTGGACTCGCCTGCTGCTTGGACATGCCCTGCTTAATGAAAAAGGAGGAGCAGTGGACACAGGCCCTGTTGTAAAAAGAGAATATGGCAGCACGTTTGGTGCTGCAGCAGAAGAGAATTAACTGGACAACCACCCCAAACAAACGATGACAGCAAAAAATTTTGGTGAATGGAGCTGATGGACATTGGGATGGTGACATCATCCTTGGATTGGTGAAATCGACAGCATTTCAGAACTATCCAAACCACTTGGACAGAACCCTCGGAATATGTACACGTGGAGACTCTGGTTGATATGAGGTGGCGGTTCCTCATCCCTGGGTACTGGGATGTGCGCAAAGGCATGAGTGGTAATCCCCTTTGCTTCTCCCTTCTACCCCAGGAACAACAAGAAGAAACAGCAAATTTGGAAGCAATGAATTCACCCAATTTTCCTTAAACTCCGATCCTTCCTAACCTGATCAACCATGTAATCATTATTTTTTAAAAAGACTCCCGAATGGAGCAGTACTCCTATGCGTACTCCTAGGGACAGACTCCTATGGAACAGTATCATGAAAAAATTAGAAAGAAAAGCAGTAGTTTAAATTTCAAAAAAAAAATTATTTTCAATGTTCTTTTTTATTTATTCTTCTTCAGGACCCGCTATAGAATGAGGACCTGTGGTACACACTATGGTGATTGATTTCAAACACATGAAGTCAGATTTGGGAATCGCTCGACTTGGCTGACTTGATTAGGGACAATTCGTTCATGGTGTCTTATTGTTCTTACATCTGTCCCCAGGTTTCCCAGGATCCTGAATTCTGCTGTAATTCAGCTGGATTTTGTGGTTCTTGCTGTTCTGTTCCTGGGACTTGATCATCTTAAGCAGGTGGTTCTTAGATTTTTACATTATGTATCTCTGTGTCTGTCACCTGTCTGGAGAGTGTGGTGGCTTTCTTCTTTCAGGCAGCGTTGCAGTTGTGAGCTTGAACCTTGTCACGTGCTGCTGGGTGTCTCATTCACGGTCGTTATGGCAGCAGTATTTAGCATTCTTGTTTGGATGGGTGTGTCAGATGGTGTCTGCTGTTTGGGGCTTTAACAAAAGCAGCTACCACAGGCATTCCTGACCACAGTAACTGTGAGACACTAGCATATTTCAGAAAAAAAAAAAAAGAAAACAGTATAACTTAGCATTTTTTGACCATTTTTCCCTTCACTTTACTGTGTATTATTATTATTAAAGATTGATTCTTTTTATTGCAAAGTCAGATATACAGAAAGGAGGAGAGACAACGAGGAAGATCTTCTGTCCACTGATTCACTCCCCAGTGACCGCAACAGCTGGAGCTGAGCCGATCCGAAGCTAGGAGCCAGGAACTTCTTTCCAGGTCTCGCACACCGGTGCAGAAACCCAAGGCTTTGGGCCATCCTTGACTGCTTTCCCAGGCCACAAGCAGGGAGCTGGATGGGAAACGGGGCCACTGGGATTAGAACCGGTGCGCATATAGGATCCCGGCATTTTCAAGGTGAGGACTTTAGCTGCTAGGCCACTGCGCTAGACCCATTTTCTGTATGTTATTAACTTGTCTTTCAAAGTTATTGTGCACTCGCACCCACAAGGTACGACACTTGACAGTGTTAGAATGTACTAAATTTTACTCATAAAAAAGATACTAATGCTTTCTCATGTTAAAAGTTTGCTTTTCTCTGCTTATGAATGAAGATAATCTTTTCATATATGTACTGATGATTGGATATGTTATTCTTGTGAAAAAGTTCTCAAGTGTTTACTTGCAAGTTGTATACTGCCCTGCTTGATTCAGTTTTAAAATATATATACTTGGAGAAACAGCATTGTGGCATAGTGTGTAAGGCTGCTGCCTGCAATTACCACAACCCACATGACTGTTGGTTCAAGCCCTGGTCGCTCCACTTCTGACACAGCTCTCTGCTAGGGCACCTGGGAAAAGAGCAAAAAAGGCTCCATTACTTGGGTACCTGCATGCATGTGGGAGACCGGGAAGGAGCTCCCAGCTCCTGGCTTCGTTCTTCCCCAGACCTGGCCCTGTGGCCATTTGAGGAAAAACTAGATAGACAATTTCTCTTCACTCTCTTTCAGTCACTGTGTGCATGTGTGTGGATGTCGTTCTTCCTTAGCTGTTTTTCAAGAAAATCAATTTTGAAACTATGCATGCATTTATATGGATATTTATTTGTTGTCTTTTATAAACGTTGGAAGTACCTTTTCTCGTGGTGGATTTGTCAACCTCTTGCAGTATTTTCAATGTTTATTCACTTATCTGAAAGTCAGAGTTACAGGCATTGAAATAAACCAACTGGTGAATTTTAAGGTGTTTGTTGAAATGCAGGTAAGGATGCAGTTCCATACTGGCTGAAATGATAAACAGAACCTCCTGCATAACTGTCAGAAAAGAACGTGAACTCTGGAATTAAAGAAAATTTGGGGAATGACCGATTGATAAATAATAGCTAAATATTGAGATTTAGGCATTAGGTGGAAATATGATAGACAGATGATCTGCTTAGTAAAGTTCGCGCCATTGATGGTGTTACACATAATGCAATACTGAACCTAATTAACCTTTTCCAAAGTATGATTCCGTATTTGTCAAAAATATGCTTTTTAAAAAAGCAAAGATAAGATCAGGAGGAACTCTAAGGAAATATCACAACAATAATCTGATGGTTCAATTTTCTTGAAAAAAAAAACAAAAAAGGCAGGAAGGTCATTTTTACAATACTCTCCAGCAATGAACGAGGGCTGTGCTGGGGCTCACCCTTCTTGTTGGTTACCTGGGAGAACAATTAACATTTGAGGCAATTTTTTTTTTCTTTTTAAAAATCAAGCTTGTGAAAGTGCTCCTCTGAACCAGCTCATCAGATGCCCAGGACCCCAGAACTCATACAGTCTCAGCAGACTGAGAATGCTAGCAGGAAGCCGACTTCTTGCGTGGGACTGTGGCTGCCTCGCTGGCTAAGCGTGGCAGGGAGGAGCAGCGCATCCCTGTGGTCCTTCCTCATCAGGTGCTTGTAACCGAGCGTATCCCCCTCCTCAGTTAATTGATTTGTTAGAATCCGTTCCTGAAGAAAACATGTTCACTCCTTTGCTGCTGCTGCAGTGGTTGTTATTTCATTTACTTGTTGGCTATTTTTGGAGGGGCTTTCCGTGGTTGCCCAGGTAACCTGCGTAGTATGTTTATAAACCCTGTTGAGTTTAATAGAGGGTGCATTGCTTCACTTGGCCTTGCATCTCCTGTGTCACAATCTCTCTCAGTGCGGTGGTCACACCTTGTTCCCGGACTCCTAAGAGGGATCATCCTCACAGTGTTAGTTTAAGTCGCTCATTTCAAACGACTTCATGTTTGAAATATAGATTTTCATTACTATCCAATTACTATTGGATTAGACATGTTCACGTTGAGGACCAAGAATCTGCTCTTTTGAAAATAAATTTAGAACAACATTCATACCTAGCGTTGACTTCATTTTCCCGGTCCCCGTTTGGTTCTTACCAAGAGCTTCTTGTATTCCAGTATTTGAGTATTTCATTAGTTGCAGAATCACCTCTTTCAGTGTTGTAATGGTTTCTACCCTGCTTTGATTGATGGCACAATATGTCACTTTCTAAAACCTGACAGATTCAGTAACTCTATTATTTATGTTAACACATTATATCATTATAAGACACAATCATAAAATGTTTAGTTTCATTAGCTTAGCCTGTTTTCAAATGTTTTCATGCGTACAATATAACAAGACTTTTTTACAGTGTGTGGTCAGATGCGGTGGCCAAACCCTGCATGCTGGTGGCTTTTCCCTGATCGTTGTGTAGAAATAATAGTAAACAACATGTTAACAAAGAACCAAGAGATGCTATCTTTTCCCTTCACAGAAATTGCACCCAAGGCTGTCCGATCACTGCTTCCTCTCTGGGACAGCCCAGAGACAAAATCTTTCATTTGAAATTAGTATTGTTCCAAAAATGATCTTTCATTAGATCAGTCAAAATAATCCATAATAACTAGAGAACACACATAGATTATTTGTAGATTTTGTTTTAAAAAAAAGTAAATGTGGCTCAGTTATTCATTTTTGACTTAGGGTTTACAGAATCAAATTATAAGGTGTTGAAAAGTATCAAAATGAATGAATGAATGAATTGATTGAAATGAAGTAGGAACTTGTAGGTAGAGTAGAATGGATGTGCTTGGGATTTTGTTTTGTTTTGTTTTGTCTTGTTTTGCTTTTTTGGTGGCCTGGGATAGAAAATGATATGGGTATTTATTTTGGAGTCCAGGTTCTGGAATCCAATTCCATGAATACAAGTCCAGCTTCTAGAACCCATTAAGTACCCTGTTTTCTCTGCCATTTGGTTTCCTTAACTACAAAATTGAGATAACAGCCCTTAATGAGGCTTGACGGGCTCAATGAGGTATATGTCCCTGTCAAATTGTAAATACCCAATGATGCTTTAAAGATATCTAGTATTTAAATTATAAATTAACTCAGAAATATATTTTTCTAAATAAGTATATGTTTGCTGTTTCCATCTTTTTCATTTCCGGCCTTCGATTGTGTCATGTTTGTTTCTGGGTACAAATTGCACTAGCTTCAACTAGCTTCAACTAGCCTTATTGAGCCCTTTCATGCACTCATTTGTTCAACACATATTTTTAAAGCAACAGTTGTCAGGAATTCTGCTAGATGATGTAAATTCAAAAGAAAATAAAAGGCGTCAAGGTATTTACACAGATACTCTGAGTACTCACAGTAAGTGTGAGGATGTGAAAATTGATAATACTTGCCAAATAATCTTGAAGTCAACTGCTTTTAATTTGCTCTTTTGTTTGTGTACATTCTGTTGTTGTGATGTATTACTTTCTTTATTTTTAAGCCATTATCTTTTTTCATTCAACTGGTTTGCATTTTCTGTCCTCAGTCGCTTCTATCCCTCTGACTCATCTCTTGAGGAGCACCGTCATTGGAGAAAACTCCCTTGTTTAGTTCCAAACCCATTTCCATAGCAGTTTCCCTGCAAGCTGTCTGTCTGCTGATCTGTCAGTCCCCTTACGTGCCTTCACTTCTAAGTTATTCAGGGTTGTGCAAATTTTTTAAACAAATCAGAAAAGCACAGGAAATACTAGGTAAACCACAGCCTTCAAACCATGTCCAAGAAGTGTCTGAACTCTTGCTAAGAGGAAATAAGCTGATGGCAAAGGAAGAGATTGTGGTTGTCCTTGCCACCCTGCTTTAGCGTGATGTAGGAAACACCTGAGAGAAATGTGCAAGACTCCCGGCATATTGAATCAAATGCTTCTAGAATTCAAGGCATAGAATAACAGTTCTTCCATGCACCAAAACTACTTGTTGAAGGTTGTTAGCTCTGTCTTCTTACTGTTGCAACAGGAACAGTATCCTTGCACATAGAAAAATCAATCCCTTTTGTGGTACTACAGGTTTAGCTGGTGCCTGCAATGCCAGCATCTCATACAGGCAGATTCAAGCCATAGATACTCCACTTCCTCTCCACTAATGTGGGGAAACAAGAACTAAAATCCTGGCTCCTGGATTTGGCCAGGTCCAGCTCCAGTCCTAGCCACTGTAGGCATTTGGGGAGTGAACTGGCTGGTGGATCTCTCTCCTCTCTGTTTTTCTCCCCCAACCTAACTCTTTCAAGTAAATAAATAAACCTTTATCTGTGGCACCAGTATTCCATATAGGCCCCCAAATTTGCTACAGTAGTAAAGTGTATGATCATTTGGCAAAATAACTCTATATCTCACGTGATACACAGCTATTACCCTATGTATGAAATAAACAACTATTAGGACCAGCACAATGGTGCAGAAAGTTAATCCTCCACCTGCTAGCACCAGCATCACATATGGGTGCCAGTGTATGTGCCAGCTGCTCAACTTCTAATCCAGCTCCTTGCTTACAATGGGACAGCAGCAGAGGATGGTTCAAGTCCTTGGGAACCTGCTACCAAGTGAGCAACCTGCAAAGAAGCTCCTGGCCCCTGGCTTCAGATCTGGCTATTGCCACCATTTCAGGACTGAACCAGCAGTTAGAAAAGTTCTCTGTCTCTCTTATCCCTGTAAATCTTCCTTTCAAAAAAAAATTTTTTAAGCCAACCCCACCACTTTGACCATCTCTTTTAACTTCTCAGTTCCTTCAAAGTATTCTGTAACTATTCCTCTTCCATTATCCCTTGTGACACCCATTTTTCCTTTTCACAGATGCCTTACATTAACATCAACATTGAAACAAAATGAAGTCAAATTATTAGAATAAAAAACACAAACAAGCAAGTTAAGAATTCAGTGGAAAGGGCCTGGCGGCGTGGCCTAGAGGCTAAAGTCCTCGCCTTGAATGCACCGGGATCCCATATCGGTGCCAGTTCTAATCCCGGCAGCTCCATTTCCCATCCAGCTCCCTGCTTGTGGCCTGGGAAAGCAGTCGAGGATGGCCCAAGGCTTTGGGACCCTGCACCCGTATGGGATACCCGGAAGAAATTCCTGGCTCCTGGCTTCGGATCAGCATAGCATCAACCATTGTGCTCACTTGGGGAGTGAATCATCGGAGGGAAGATCTTCCTCTCTGTCTCTCCTCCTCTCTGTGTAGCTGACTTTCCAATAAATAAATAAATCTTTAAAAAAAAAAAGAATTCAGTAGAATTAATAATAGAATGAGTGAGGCAAAAGAAAGAATGACAGAATTGGATGACAACTCCTGCAATAATGCTGAAACAGCCAAAAAGTTGGAAGAGGAACCCATGTAAGATGAGAAAAGCATCCAGGAATTGAGGAACACCACAAAAAAAATACACAAACATAAGAATTATGGGAGTTCCAGAAGGTGCAGAAAGAGAAGCAGGGCTCAAAGATGTATTTAATGAAAAACCCATTAAGAACGTCCCTAACCTAGAGGAAAAATTGGACAACAAAATACAGGAGGTTCACAGAACTTTCAATAGAGTAAAATCAAAAGTGACCTTCACCACGACACATCATAATCAAGCTCTTTTCAGATGAACATAAGGGAGACATTTAAATATGCAAGTGAGAAAAGTGATTTAACAGCTGACTCACAGCTGACCTCTCAGAGGAAACTCTACAAGTCAGAAGAGAATGGAGTGACATATTCCAGATCCTATAACATACCCAGCAAAGCTTTCCTTTGTCTTTGAAAATGATATAGGTAAACATGCATGTGCATATCGTCACCTAGAGGAACTGTGTAATAGAAATCATCGTATCAAAATGTGAAGATGCAATGCAGTATGCACTGAAACTGTTAAATATATCTTGACAATAGTTTGCTGGACTCTGCCGTTCTCCATACCTATAGTGTCAGGATATACTCTCTGTCTCTCTCTGCCTCTCTCTATTTGCTCTATTTCCTGGCCTCTCAAATAAATTGAAGTTCTCTTTACTTCTTAAACCATATCCTGTGTGGTTTTACAGCTAGTTTTTATTTGAATGCCATGATTTGTAGACTGATTATACTTTTTGTTAAGTGATGTCTCTCTTTCCATCTCATTCAGTGATGGAGTATTCTGTTTATGGAATGGTTGAACACATCGAAAGCACAGAGGGATCTGTCACGAAGAGGCCAAGGAAACATCCTCATCATTGCCAACACAAATGGACACACAAAGGTAAAAATCTGTAATCCTCCAGTCAATCAGAGATTATATGATTAGAATTTTCTGTAGTGAATTTATTTCTAGATGCTCACCGAGAACCTGAAAGAACTTGAAACAGACTTTGATACTCACAGGTAGTGCTACCTTGGTTTTAATCGTCTGTTTTTGTAGATGTCTCCTAATTAGATTGGGAAGTTAACGATCTCCCACACCTAATGCAGTTATTAATAGACAAGAGTATTTCCAAAAGTTGTGGAATTAAGATACATTTATTTAGTTGTGAAAATTTTTGAAATGCCTGCGTACAAGCAATATTCAACAAGTTTGTGGGAAACACATATTATTTTTTAAAATGTGCATGGATTTCAAGATGTGCACAACCAAAATAAACATGTTTTCATTCTGTTTTTCTACCAACTTTTGTTGGTAGAATTACTCTCATTTGTAAATTTGTCGTTTTATTAAAACTGGATGTGATTAATCAGATGTGACTTTTCCTGAGTTGGAAATCATTAGCGTCATGAGTGTTGTCTTATTAAAGCAATCATAAAGATTATAATTGAGTTATATATGAATCAATATAAGTTAAAGAGTTTTATTTCAAATAAAAGTTGGACAGAGGCTACAACGCTCTATCTTGCTTATGTGTCTACAAAGGCACTCGTTTTTTTAACTCACATTTCATTATTTTGACACTATTTATGTTTTTCCTTTTCATGACTTAATCCCATTGAATGTTATACATGTCACTGAATCAAAATTTAATTTAATTAAAGCCAAAGGACAAATAGGAATGAAAATGTTTTTGACACATGGGTTTGGTCAACTACTATTTCTGTATTCAGTTGTTGCAAGAGTTCTAATTTGAGAATACACATGTAAATGTAACAAGGCTGTTTAATAAATACCAAGTAAAGCATTTAGACTTACTGAAATGTCAAAATGTTTCAGAAGAGAAATTAATCATTACAGATTACTCTCAGTGTCCAAAATGGCATCACACAGCTCTGAGACTGACCGGCATTGTGGTAGCTCTATTGGTGGCCACCATAATAGGACTGTCTGTTTGGGGTGAGTAACTCAAAAGCCACACAGTTAACTAGAGGGATAATTGAATTTTCTTCATGAAATCTTTCAAAAGTTTATGGAAAAATTATAGATATACTTCAAAATGTTTCAGTCCAAAACTGGCTTATCTTTTTAGCTCTATTTTCTACAAATTGTTTAAAATACTATTTTTTGTAAGAAACATTTGTAGTGAATTTGTTTCTTGTAATTTTTAAATTATTATTATTATTATTTTATGATACAGATCCATTGGCTCTGGGATTTCCCCTACTTCCTTACCAAAACCCCTCCTCCCCCGGTGGGCTTTCCCCATATTTCACAACAGTATAGTTCCTCACAAACAGTTATAAGTCCATCATTATGGGCATCGACAATGGCAGAGAGTACAGCATCCTATTGTCAAAATATAGTTAACAGTTTCATTGGGAGTCCATCTTTGATCTGCAAGTAGATGCATACTGCATTGTATCTTCACATCTGGATATAATAGTCTCCATTACACAATTATTATACATCCTTTTAAATGGAAGTCACAAAATAAAATCAACAACAGGAAAAAAAACCAGAAATTTACAATGCCATGAAGTTAAATAACATCCTATTGAATGACTAATGTGTTGCTGAAGAAATGAAAAAGAGAATGAAGAACCTTCTTGAAGAAAATATTCTACTGTATGACCTATGAGTCAGTGAAGAATTTAATATGAGGAAAAACTCTTTTGAAAAAATGAAATAAAAAAATCAAAATCTATGAGATGTAATTTCCGCTGATCTTTGTTGGTGAAATGTTTCTCCTGTAGGCGACAGATAGATGGGTTTTGTTTTTCGATCTAGTATACTAATCTACCACATTTCATTGATTAGTATGCTAGATTAGGTTTCTTATGCATTCAGAGATAATATGTACAGGTGGTAATTTGGTCCTGCCATTTTAGCAATGGGTTGTTCATTGATTTAGTCTTCTGTTGTTCCTTTACTGGGATGTTCTTTACATTTGCCTTTGGTTTTGGTGGAAGCTATTCCTTTTCTCTGTCAAGAGAACATCTTTATGTATAATTTGTAAGGTGGGTCTGAAAGAGGCATATTCTTTGAGCTTTTCTTTACTGTAAAACAGTTTTATTTCATTTTCAAAGATAAATGAATGCTTTACACCTATGTTCTTCTGGGCTGACAATTTTTGCTTAAAAATGTGGAATATGTCACACCATTCTCTTCTAGCCTGTAGAGTTTCCTGTGAGAGATCAGCTGTGAGTCTGATTGCTACTCCTCTATATAGCAATTGATTTTTTTTTCCAAGACCACATTTAAGGACCTTTTTCTTATGTTTGACTGAAGAGAGTTTGACTATCATGTGTCATGAAGGTCACCTTTGGTCACCATGTTGGGAGTTCTGTGCCCCTCCTGGATGTTGTTTCCCAATTCTTTCTCTAGATTAGAGAAGTTTTCTTTTATTATTTCATTAAATACATTTTTAAACCCAGCTTCACTTTCTGTGCCTTGTAGAACTCCTATAACTTATATTTGGCCTTTAATAGTGCCTCTTAAATTTTTTTTTGATTTATTTATTTTTTGTTGGAAAGTCAGATATAGAGAGAGGAGAGACAAAGAAGAAGGTCTTCCATCTGATGATTCGCTCCCCAAGTGGCTGCAATGGCTGGAGCTGCGCCAATCCAAAGTCAGGAGCCAGGAGGCAGGAGCTTCTTCCTGGGTCTCCCACATGTGCATGGCCCTAAGGCCTTCGACCATCCTTAACTGCTTTCCCAGGCCAAAAGCAGGGAGCTGAAATGAAAGTGGAGCAGCTAGGATGTGAACTGACAGCCATATGGGATGCTGGTACATGCAAGGCAAGGACTTTAGCCACTAGGCTATTGTGCCAGGCACTCTTAATTCTTGAATTCCTTTTAGCTTGACCTAGCTCTGCTTCTTGCTTTTTGAAGGTTTTCCCATTGTGAGTAGAAATATCTTCCAATTCTGGTATTCTTTCTTCTGCTTCATTCATTCTATTATGGAAACTTTCACGGATTTTTTAATTTGCTGTATTGCATCATTCACTTTCAATAATTCTGATTGATTTTGTTTTACTGTTGCTGTATTGCCTGTGTGACATATTCCTTAAGTTCCTTGAACTCCTGTATATGCTTCTCCTTGATAAGAAACTTCGTAACAAGTGTTTTGACTTCTGTATCCCCCATTTTCTGGATATATTCCTCGGTTAACTTTGAGTTTGGCAAGATCCTTTGCTGCTTTGCAAGGGAGTCTTCAGTAATATTCATTGTTCCTCTGTCTCTTCTTATACTCTTGGTCATTGTGCTCTCTTCCTCTCTCTCTCCTCTCTCTCTGTAATTCTGCCTTTCAAATAAGTAATAAAACTTACGACAAGAAATGTGTAAGTTCACACTAAATTTAAGAACTCTGCTTTAAGTGAACTTCATGTGCTAAGAGCTATGGATGATCACATTTGCTTCTATTTGCTATGACGTATTATTGTATGTTAGGAGTTATGATACACATTATATGGTTAAAACAAATGAATAATTTACAAACATAGACTTGGAGCTACAGAAATCTTATCAGTGTTCCTATTTTCCTAATTTCTTAGTGTATCATCTAAGCGTATATTCCTTCAGTGACAGTCACAGTGAGCAGTTGCTTGGTAGTGACAACGGAACCAAACCCTGCAATTGTGCGAATATTTCTCCCAGGAAACAACTGGACCATACAAACTCCTCAGGTAAGTGATTTTATTTCATAGTATTTTCAGAAAGGAAAAACCAGGTTATATTAATGGTTAAACTAAGCAAAGAGGCAGGAGATAAAGGAAGCAGTAGCCCAGTCACTCAGGGTTAATCAAGCTTGGTAGGGGAAAGGGAGGCATAGGAAATGCCTCTATGGGAAAAGCAAACTAATTTCTTTGGGGGAAAAAATAAAGAACAAAGTAGAGATAAGAAAGTGAGTGGTTTTCTCTTTTCTCCATGTAAAAGAAAAAGGAAAAAGAAAATTCCCTCAAAAAGGGGATTTATGATAGGTTCACACTTAGCAGCCTCATTTCTTGGAAGTTCCTGCTTTTGGTCAGATCTGGTCAGACAGAGAAACTGTGAAAAGACCTGTATTACCATCTATTAAATTTAATCCTGGGCTCTCTATTTGAAAATCTGCTGCTGGCAAAATGGTTCCTTGTGATGCTCATCAATGTTTTGAATGTGATGCTGTTATTCCTGTTGTATCCCTCCAAATCTGGTTCCTGTTCCTTGACCCACACCCACTGCACTGGTGCCCTTACTGCTGGCTGCTGACACCCCTCCCAGCACCTGCCATCCCACTGTCTTGCAAGGCCAAATTGCAGCTACTTCACATTTTAGGCTTATGCTGCTAGCAACCTCACAGCTCAGCAACTCTCCCAATTTTTCAAATTCTTGGGGCTTTTAACTGACCAGAACTTTACTCTTGGGGCTTTTAACTGACCGGAACTTTACTCTGTTAGCTCTACCTTCAGACCAGAGAAGGTCTCCCCAAGAGGCCACTGAACTTATCTGGACAATAAGATGCTGGACTTTATGCTAGGTATATGCTTGCAATGAAGGAATCTCAACTGAACTTGAACTGTGGTTATGCAGCAAGGTGGAGGAATCCACTATGGGGGAAGGGGTGTGGGAGGGGTGGGGGGAATCCCCAGTGCCTATAAAACTGTATCACATAATACAATGTTAATAACAATAAAAAAATTCTTATCTACTGGGCTTTACACCTTTATTAGTCATAAACAAGCTACTTGCTTTCTTGATGAACCAACAAGCAATTTAAGAAAAGGTCACTTTCTGTGGAAGCCACATGATCCACATCTGAGTTGATAAAAATCAAATCCACAGTTATTTCATGACAATAGAGCCGTCCGTGATCCTGGCATGACAATCTTCTTTTATGAAATGTAATATAGATGGTATCATATTAAGGCAAACAAAAAAATATTAAGGAGCAGGATATTCAACTTGCATGAGACTCTAAGATGAATTCCATTGTTAAGGAAATCATGCTTAGATCCTTAGGAAACAAGTTCATTCTGTTTTCAGAAGTTATTGACAGAAAGCTGTTGGGTATATTGGACTAAAATAGTTCTGCTAATTTGTTGATTGTCTTTTACTAGATGAACAAAGGACATTGGGTTTCAATCACCTTTTTCTGGTTTTGCCTATACAGCTGTAACTTCTATGCCATCATCTGCTTACTGCTTTTGTAATTCTGAGGTTAAGATGTTCTAGACTATTCTTTCAAAAGGTAAATGTCAAAGGGTTGAAATGCAAGGCCAAGAGAGACCAGTGTGTCTCAAGAAGAAGAGAATTGCTAATCACAAGTGTCCTAATGTTGCCTGGGTGTGCAGACCCATTTTGGAAATGTGTGCAAGGACAGACATTGGGCTCAGTGGATAAGATGTTACTTGGGAAGCCTGCCTCTCCTATTGGAGTCCCTTGGTTGCAGTCCTGGCTCAGCTTCTTGTTAATGGACATCTCAGGAGGCACAGATGACAGCTTGCCACTTGAGTCTCTAATCTACATGAGAGACTCGCTTTAAGATTCAGTGTCCTGTTAATCAATACCATGTCAATTAATGCCATAAGGTTGTAAATGACTGTTGATGTTATGTCGGGGCTTTTAATTGATTGGGATGATACTTTGCTGGCTTTACCTTCAGACCAGAGATGGTCTCACCAAGAAATCGTTGAACCCACTAGGATAATAAGACACTGGACTTTATGTTTGGTAAATACTTCCAATGAAAGAACCTCAACTGAATTTGAACTGTGGTAACGCAGCAAGGTGGAGAAATCCACCATGGGGAGAGGGTTCGGGGAGGGGTAGGGGGAATCCCAGTGCCCATAACACTTTGTCACATAATGCAATGCAATTAATAAAAAAAAAAAAAGAAAGAAAGAAAGAAACAAGTATGGGTGAATAAAACATGGAGAGGGTTTAAAAAAAAAATGATTCAGTGTCCTGGCTTTGGCCTGGCACAGCCCAGTCGGTTATAGGTATTGATGAGTGAATCAGCAAGTAAAGATATGTGTGTGCGTGTGTGTGTGTGTGTGCGTGTGTGTGTGTTTAGGTCTATCTCTATGTTCATGTCTATCTCTATGTATTTAAACAAATAAATAAGTTTCAAAATGAAATAAAAATTAGGGCAAAATTTGTATTTTATATTTAAACCTTTTTTCTCTTTGCTATTTCTCCATTTCAGCAAGTGTATGCCCTAATGACTGGCTACAGAAAAAAGGGAAATGCTATAAATTTTTCATGAACTTCGAATCATGGATCGACAGCCAAAAATCATGTTTGTTAAAAAAATCACATCTCTTGATGATCCAAGACAAGGCAGAACTGGTAAGAGCTAATCTGTCATGCAAAGTAGCCCTTGGAAAACTGGGAGAGCTGTATGGAGTTTTCAAAGTGTACATGGAGACACATGCTATAAACACTATGCATGGATTTCAAAAACTGGGGGGGGGGGGGAGGCAAAACGAGCTTATCTATTTATTCTATTCTTCCATGAACTTTTTGAAGTTTCTGAGTAGGTACATTTTATGAGACCAGAACTGTGGTGCTGATAACACTGCCATCTACTGAATTCCTTCCAGGTCTTAGGCCTTGTGTGAGGCACCTCAGGAATGTTATGCAAATTAGTGCTCACGATCAGTGCCACGTAGGTTAGAATTTCTCCATTGTCAAGAGAAATCTGCAGAGCCTCACAGGATACAAAACTCACCTATTTCACAATACATGTAAATGGCAAAGATTTTTTTTTAAATCCAGGATCATTTTATGGATGTCATCTTTCCATATCATCTCCTGGCACTCGTTAGGCATCAACGTCAGGCCATATTCTTGGTATCTTGGGTAGAGAGAGTGGAGCTTTTTCATTTGGTTCATGCGTAGTTTCAGATGAGGCACTGCTATTTTCTGGACTGCTCCTTGGTTGACAAAAGAATGAGTGAATAGTTGCGGATTCCTTGGGCAGGATTACTGATTCTTCAGTTTGCTCTATATCCCCTTGGCATTCATTCATCAGTTGCTGTTCACATCATTTTGTGAATGTCACTAAACAACACAGACCTGCATATTATGTGTGTCAAGTTTTCCTTATTAGGGAGATAAATATCAAAACCTTGTTAGTCTGGACAACAGAAGAGATTATTTTTAATAGATTGAACTCTCAATTTTCTCCGGATTTCCTCTTCCAGGATTTCATACAGAGTAACATCCAGGATGGAATTTACTTTTGGATTGGATTAAATGTTACATATCCACCAAAGGCATGGACCTGGCTTGATGGCACACCACTGGATCTACAATTGTGAGTGTTTGGCACTTGAACATCATTGCAGAACTTTAAGAGCTGAGCAGCTGACCCTTCCTGGTGACTGCCTGAATCTGCAGGACAGGTGGTTCCTGGAAAATGAAGCCTTTGAGCTTAGTTAACATGTGGATCATTTCAAAACTTGGAAAAATGGAGATTTAACTCCAAACTAACTTATTTTCACATTTAGGCTTTCAGCTCACTTAAAGATGCAAGAGGCTTGATTGTCCACTCCATTTGGCTTTGCTGCATCCATTTCCAGGTGCATTCTAAAGTGAGAAGTTATGCACTAATTCTCAAAATACAGGCAGAAAGACTAAAAGTTCCTGGTGACCTATTCTCTTGGTATAAGGTTTCAGTAAACATCAAAAGTTCACCAGACTTCTTGGAAATTTTGAATTCGTTGTGTTGTCTTAAAGAGATGTAAAGGAGATTGGGAAAAGATTGGGAAAAGTCACCCAGCAGGTCCACCACCTGCCTGAAGAGATGCTCTGGGACTAGTGCAATGGGGCAACATGCTAATCTTCAGTCCTTTGGGGCAGGCATCTGAGCATCCTGACTGCTCCAGTTTTGATCCAGCTCTCTGCCTGTAGCTTGGGAGAGCAGCAGAGGATGGCTCAGGTCCTTGGGGACCCTACATCCATGTGGGAGACCTAGAAGAAGCTTCTAGCTCCCAGCTTCAGATCACCTCACTTCTGGCCTCTGCAGCCATTTGTTGTTTGTTAGCTTCTGATGCTTGAGATGATTTCATTGTCCTGTAGCTTATTCATCTAGCCCAGGGGACGCTGACTTAAACTTCATATGAAGAAAAAAAAAGGAATTAAGAGGGAGTTTCCTTCTTTTGTGACAAGGTGAATGATTTGGGCACACTCATATGTACATGTATGCATGGAAGTTCTCTTGTTGCAGTATACCTACAATTTGGCCTATATAACTTAAAAAAAATTACAAGTGGTGAACTCCCCTCCTGCACTGCTCACTGTAGCTTTCACTTCTTTCTCTGACCTGGAATCGCTGTTGCCATCTTCAGCAATATCTTCACCTCATTCTTTTCACTTCAGTGCAATCTATTTATATCAAGGGCCTTCTGTAGACTCAAACAAGCTAATCAAAAGCACTTAAAGGTTTTCAAAGGTGTGTCATTTGGTATTTAGGTCTGAAAGATGAAAAATAAAGGTTAGATTTATTTCTACAGAAAATTGGTTCAATGCCTTTTGAAGTCTAAACGTATGGGCGTGCTGACATTTCTACATCTTAAAATGATGACTCTGATATTGTCTGCCATAGGGTTGGGATCCAAGCAGTTTAGACATGCAAAAATCTTGAATTATGAGTCTGTAGGTACTAGGTGAATTTTTCTCCTAAAATGTTCTCAAATTGCTCACATTCAAAAACAGAGAAAAGGTGCATAGCTGTGCTTGTAGCAGGTACAGGTCAACTTTCTGGGAAGAGTCCTGCTTCCAGAAATTAACATGCCACGGTTCCCTCTGCAGATTTCAAGTCACAGGCCAAGTTGACGAGCAGACCTGCGCTGTGATCACAAAGAAGGGTGTTTTTTCTGAAAAGTGCTTCGTTCAAAGTTACTGGATTTGTCAAGAAGTCATTTCACCAACAGAGATTAACCTCTAAACTAGTCTCAGCTCTTCTTCCCAACAACAACAACAACAACAGAAGTTTTGGCGGCAGGCAAAAGTGGCCCTGGTCTTAAAGATACTTGAGTTCCGTATCAGTGTGCCTAGGTTCGATTCCTGGTTCCGGCTTCTGACTCCAATTTCCTATCAATGCAGACCCTGGAGGACAGTAGTGATGGCTCAAAAACTGGATTCACGTGGGAGATCTGGATTGAGTTTCTGGTTTCTAGCTTTGATCTGGCCCAGTCCTTCTGGTGAGCATCTAACAGATGTAAGTGTTCTGAGGGCACTGCTCAGTGGTTGGATTTTCTCTCCCTCCCTGACTCCCTATAATTCTTAATTAGCTAATTAATTACCAGAGAATATGTTCTTGGTTTGAAAACATTCATAAATGGATTTTACATTTATATATCTTTAGAGAAATACTTTCTTTCTTTAACAAATGCAATGACGCTGATGATAATAGAATTGCATTGCTATAAAACGAAGCACCCACCCTCATCGTGTGTCAGCCAGCCATTATTTCTATATTATCCTACTATTGTCTTTCCTGATAGTGGGACTATTTCAGACAGACGCTTCCCTAGCTTCAATACTTCACTCCATGCAACTCTCACAAGCCCTTGGCAAAGGACTTTGTATGTGTCATTAAGAGTAGCCATTGGAGGAATAATCCTGACCTTTCTATCACTGAGTCTGCACATTTGCCTACCCCTTATTTAACTACCTTTTGTTTTTTTCCTATTTCTCATGAAGGAATATACATCTTCCCATCTAAATCAAATTCTCCAAGTCCATATTCAGGACTGTAATGTTTGTAATTTAAAAAAATAACATATCACACGCACCAAAGACATTTTCTTAATTATCTGACTTTCAAATCTGCCTATTTTGTATCAAAAGCAAAACGTGCAATTGGTGAAAAACTTCCCTCAACCACATGTGGTTTCTAGTTTCTACCTAGCTTCTTCCACCCTTTACATGTCAAACTTCCTAAAAGTTGTTTACACCTGCTTTTTCTGCTGTCTCCCACTCCAAGTTCCTTTAAAACCCAGTTTCTGCTTTTCCTATTGTTTCACTACTGTATTCTCACCATGTTACCTGTGACTTTGTTCTTACTAAGTGTAATGAGACCATTATGTCACATTAACTCTCAGCAACTTTGTTTTTCAAGGTTATTGATGTGCTTTTGCTTTCAACCTAAAGTTGGAGCAGAGAGACACTATCTATGTTTGTTGATAAGTTTACCATAGGAGACCCCATTTCTTCTTCTTCTTTTTTTTTCGATATATTATTTTATTTTGACGATCTTTACATAGTTGATTAGGGCTCAGACTGGACCAGTCTGTTCTACATAATGGCAAAAAAAGGAACCAGGACTGGAGGCAGGCTTAGTGAGGGTTATAGGAGGTTGCTCCGACTGAAAGAGTCAGGTTTGGGACCACTTCAGATGAGGTTTCTTTGGGGATCCCCACTCCCCAACCCAACTGCTGGTCTCAAAATTCCAACCATGGGGAGAATCGCAGGATCTGTGGTCTGACCGTGGAGTGCATGTGTCAGAACTGGGCCCCCTTAATGACTTAGATTAAGCAGTGGACAGCATACCCAGATGCACAAGGAGGATTTGACGGTCCATTTGGACCTACAAAGGAGATGGGGTACCATGACAGAGAAAAGAGGGCAGAACAAATTGCTTAACTGCCCCAGCCAAGCATTGATGGCAAATATCTGGACGAATGAAGACTAAGGTGGACTATGTCAGCCAATATACCTTGGAAGGACTTCCTCATTCTTGAAGTGGCAAGATCGACAGCATTTCAGAACTATCAAAACCTGCCAGAGATCAGCTCCAGCCGAACTCGGAGCTCAAGGAACCATGTGTGGAGTCAGCAAGAAAAGAGAGCCGACCTCGGTCACTGGATGCTCAGAATGAACAGCTCAAGTGGGTGTCTTCTTTATTTACACAGAAAAATCATTATAAGCTTCTGCACAAACATTTAATTGTTCTATTTTTTACTTCAAGGCTAAGCAGGCATGCACAAACGTTCAATCATTCTATTTTTTACTTCACGGTTAAGCAGGTGTTTTGAAGATAATTGTGTAAAGTATTATAACCATCTCACTTCAAAGCAAGCTATTATTCATTCTTCAGTAGTAGCCACTGGGCAACAGCCAGGACTCCAAGGCCCGGGCACACATGGCTATTTATTAACCAGTAGTACATTCCTTCCACATTATTATTTCTACAGCTTATCTATCACATAATGAGAGAAATATGTCAAAAGGAAAAACATTTCTATTTTAACAATTTATCTATCATTAATAAAAATAAAGATCCAAAACAAAAGTTTCAAACATTAAATTCCTCTACAACCACTTGCTTTACAACTCCGTAAACAATCAATGATTAAAAACATGTTTCTATAATGTGAATTCAACCATCCTTTAATTCCTCTAGCCAAAGGATCATAAAAGCAGCTGAAACAAATGCATTTTCTATGCTCCAAAGAGATTGCAAAGGCAGGCTAGCCCTTAAGGTTACAGTAGCTATATTTACTACCATAGCAGTTTTGGCTCGTACTCCTATTGGTCTCATCAAGTTTTAGGATACTTATCAAGCCATTTCCCAAAAGTTGCACTATATATCTGGGCCAGGTTCTGGGGCAATAGTTAGGTACACAATAAGGTGTTCAGGAATGGCATGAGCTCGATTGTACCTGTGTGCATTAATTCACATAAATTGTTAAAGGCCCACTCACCAAGACATTATCAGTAACATTAGCTCCCAAGCTCACATCAGCTGCAGAAACCATCTCACAAGGGCAAATGACAATGCCTCAATAGATTACAGGATTCTTTAATGGGGTAGTGGAGCATCCGTGCAAAGGCAGTGAAACTGCGTTGCGGTGGTTAGAGAGATATCCGCCAGGCCTTGCCACACAGCTGGAAGCTCCTTGCAGCCTTACCAGCAGAAGAGCTGTTTTCTTTACACTTTCTTGTCATCCACCCCAACTGCACAGCCCCTAGCAAAAGCCACTTGAGCAAAACCCTCGGAGCATGCTCCACAATGGGGACCCTGAGTGACACTGGGTGGCCTTCCCTCCTCCCTGGGTACTGAGAGGCAGGGTATGGCTTCTCCCCTTATCTCTCCCCTTCCCCCACATACAGAGGGAAGCAAAATAAAATTTGAGAAGAAATGGTCTCACTCACTTTCCCTTATTTCAGGGCCCTTCCCACCCTAATCAATTATGTAAGCATCATCAACAATAAAGTAAAAGTTAGGGTTCTGGGAAAGTAGATGAGCTTAAGTGGTTACTACGAATTCACAGAAATAAAGATATTAAAATATAATTGATTTTTTCATTCATTTGGTAAGTGTTTCATCAGGTCTTAAAAGCTATGAATCAAAAATATTTATAGAAAAACTATACTGACAAGTTTGATGTGAAACACCAATGAAAATTTCTAAACATGAATTTCATGTACATTTGTATTAATGTAATACAGTTCTTTCAGAATACAGTTCTTTGCATTTTATGTAAAAAGATCTTTGATCTCTGGTGCCTTAACTTCCTGTTGTATATGTGTCTGGTTTGCTGCAAATCCATTTTCTAACCAAATGGCTGCTTGCACTGCTGACGCCAGTTTTATGTAGATAGGCACATTCTCCGATTCCAATTATTTTAAACCTGAATCAAGACACACAGCAAAAAAGGCAGTGATTGCATGAGGACTGACCGAAAGTGTTACAGAAAAACTTCCCTTGTTATAACCTTTCTGCTCCAACCAATCACAATAATAGCTCGACCATATAAAATTCATATTTTGTCTGACCTAAAAGGTAGCTTCATACATTCAAATCAAAACCTGCCCATACATGGTGGGGAGTGTTAAGACATCTTGACAAATACAACTGAAGTGTATGTTGCAAACTGTTTAGTGATGGTTTCATCACTGAAATGAAGAATACAAGAGTACTTCCAAAAAACTGTGGGAAATGAAATTGAAAAATAAATTCCATTTTAGTGCAAAAACATAAGCCCATATGTAGTTTTCTCATAATATGCATTTTTCATGATCTTCTTTAAGACTTCACATGGGCATAGATTTCAAAATTTTGACACAGAAAATTTTTCTTTCATTTCTATTTTCTATGGACTTTTTGAAATTGCTTTGCAGCTTTCAGTATCGTTGTGGAGTAAAATGATATGACAACTATGACATGTTAATGTTTGCCATATTAAAAAAATTAAATTAATGGCATAATGATTTTGATTACCATTTTTCCTCTGCATTCAATTTAGTCTCTCTCACAAAAGAAGCCACAAGAGAATGGTATGTATAAATTATAACTCAGATCAGTCCATGAAAAGGACTCTAGGCTCTACATTCAATTAAATCAACTATAATGTTAACTGGGACTTACCAACCACTGTGTACGGTTCCATCTATCCACTGCCAAGTGTGCCCCTGTCTTCTGCTCAAACCAATCCAATATTGAGAGTGGTCTGAATAGCGTTTCAGGAAATCCTTTAGCAAGATACATTTACAGAATCAATTCCAAGTGCCTCATTGTTTCAAATATTCTTCCATCTAATGCAATCTTTTTCTACCTTTGGAAACCATCTCAGATGTCACATTGTCCTTGGCTGGTTTGTGGCTTAATTCATCAGTTGTGTCTACTTCTATAACACTTCTGACAACTTACAACTCATTTGTAGAGAGTAGTTTTTTCTGTTTGCTTTTTTCTTCTAAAAGAATTTTTACAGAATATAGATGATCTATTTCATAAGGGCTTGTCAAATTTGCTAACCAACCTTTCTAGGGTTGGTTCCTTAGGACATGAGAGAACACTGGATAGCAGTAAAAATGTTTGCATAGTTCCCTGTTTATTCTGCTCTTATATATTATCTAGTTTCGTATTTAGCGCTGACAGAATTTACTTTCTGTTATACTACTAACCCAGTTTTTTCTTCTCATCTGATTTTGGCTAGCAATTATTTGGCATCTTTTCCTTCATTTTGGTTCTAACTTTCGTGTGTGTGTGCATGTGCCTATAAGTAATTCCTACTACTTATATGAATGTCCCTATAAGTAATACACAACTAGACCCTTGCTTCCTTTTTTAAGTCAATATGAAGGGTTTTTCTTAATAAATCAAGTAGATTTCTACTTCATTGTTGAGGGCTGCTCCTTGGATTTTTCATTGTTGAGTTTTCTGACTCCCAGGCTCATTTCCTTTTCCTTTGGTAATTTCTGAATTCTCTTGGATTAGCATTTTCTTAATGCATTAAATTGATTTGGATAGCATGGTCTGTCTTTTCATTTTTCCATTTCTAAGAAATGTACTCGTCTCTGTACAGGTCTTAATTTTTAGATTGCCTAAACAATTGTTAAATAAGTTTTAGTCACTTTATACATCTCTACAAAGTCTGCTTATTGATATTATTTGTTGCATTTTATGTTTTTCCATTACTACTGTTTGTAATTATATTTATTGAGTTAAGTGCATCTTTTCTCCATTTTTGTAAACCATCCTGTCTACTCAATCAGTTTTGCTTTTTGTTTCTCATTTATTACTTGATCATAATGTCTTGTTCCGGTTTTTTTTTTCCTCTCTCTGTTACATCTAAAATCAATGTCAGTAACAAAGGTTTTTATGTTAACATATGTCCTTTCAACCTGTTTCCATAGTTACCTGTCATTCATCCCTCACCCCTCTGCAACTGAGTTTCACTGTTTAATATTCCTCTGCATGGAATGTAGGCCTTCATGTGTATTTCAATCATCCTAAGATGGGTGCTTAGAAATCCTTGTCAGATATTTTGTAAAGTTAATTTCAGCTGTCAATTCCTCTTCCAACTCTTTTGTTTTTTCTTTAAGTGTTCAAACAATGTTAAATATTACTCCATGTTGCTTGAGCCCCTAACTTGTCTCTTTTTTACCTCCAATGTTCTGTTTGTTTTTTTCTATTACTACTCTTTGTGGAAAGTTTAAATTGTGTGCTTTTAAGTTTACTTAGTTACCACTTTCTGTGTCCCCAAAGCTTAAAGATCTTAGCGAGATCAACTTATCTTTTCACTCTTCTACATAGCTTGCCAAATGTTGTGTTCTGCCTCTGCTTGTTCTTTTTTTCAGAGTTTCCAAAATGACAGTATCAATTTGATGTTAAACAGGTAGGTACACAATAGTTCCTTACCAGGGACTTTATTACAGCTTGCCAAGTCTGAACTACAGAAATGGCTCTAGATTCTTCTCCAGATATTGATGTGCTGTTCCCCGTTTGAAAGTACAGATAGAATGTTTTGTGGTTGGACTTTAAGGAATGAGTAGAATCTTTCTTATAGGTCTTGCTATATCAATTGTTCTACATGGGACTTGAGGAAAATTCCTACTGTGTACCTTATTTCCAAATATACTTGCACCCAAATCCTAAATGTCTTCTAACAATTTTGTGGCAATGATTGATCTGCCCAGTCCTGTCTGTGGTCTGACCCAGACACATTCTTTTTCTACAGATTGTTGAACTAATGTGAGAAATGGAGACCCCTCTATTCCACAGAACAGGGTCCTCGCTGGACTATTTCCGTTGCCAGTGTATATGCTTCCTGTCAGGTGGAACCTCTGCCTTACCAGTTCTTTTGTGGTGTTGAATACGGCGAGAGTGGCTGCGTGGGAGGCACAGAAGTCCTGACTGGATGCCCAGGTAGTCGTATTTTCAGAAAAATAGAAGCACTTTCCCAGGTAGCCAATCCAGTCATCTGGGCATGATTTGTGTTCCGTGGAAGGCTTCTGCTTTTCAACTAAAAACAATTTAATTGTGTATTAAATATCAAGTACAGAGGAAACAGAAAGGCCTGAACTTCCTGCTCCAAGACACAGTAGAAACTGTTCTAAAACATGGATCTGTGCAGATGGAGCAAATTTGCAGGATTAGCCATGGCTTTTCAGTCTGAAAGGTTTTAGACTTTACTGTTAGTCACTCTGCTTCCCCCTCCCCAAATTGTGTACTTCCTTTCTAGCGAGGTTGAAGGAACCCCTTTATGGATGCCACCCATGCACATGCCGTTACTGCTCAGGTTCAAAGGTCAGTGGTGTCCTCAAGTAACACAGCTCCGAGGGGATCCCACCTAACTTCACGAGGCTGTCACACAGATACTCACAGTTATGAAGTTAATATTTAACTCCAGCCTCTCACGAGGATCTATATACAATTACCTAATGGACAACCATGTGTTCAATTAAAACAAATTTTGTGCATATGTAGGATGTGTTAAGTACTCTAAGATATTTATCATAGACTCAAGTCTCTACAGCTGTTATGCTAAGACTCTAAGATGGCAAGTAGATGTTGAACATTTGATTTAAATGACAAGGAATGATACTAAAGGAATAGTGATTGAGATTAAGGGAATGTGGAGGGGAGCTGATCATAGGTGGGGCCTGCAGTTGTCATTTAAGCTGGCAATTGAAATTTGCATAGGCCTGATTAAAGCAAGAACATTTAGTCTTTGGTGCATTGTAACATAGATCCCTGTAACCTAAACATCAATATCTAATGAATACAGAAAAAGCCTATTTTAATGCCAAAGCAAAGAATTCAGTCTTGTGGTCCAGGCCATAGGAATTTGGTAAGCTTATCATGCCCTGCCCAAATTTCTTCTATTCCTGATCTTTACTTAATGATTTTATGGCATTAGAGGATTTTAGCACCATAAGCAACCCTGAAAATTGTATGACTGAGTCTCATGCTGTATAGAGGAGACTGAGCTGCTAGCTGCTGGATGGATTAAGTAGCCAGTGACAAACCTGGAAACCCGCTCCCGTTATTCAACTTCAGAGCAGGAGACAGAACATTCTTCTTTATGAATTGCCTACACAGTTGCATGACTGAATTTATAAGGAAGTCCTTTACGCAGAACTTAAGCCAGGGAGCAAGAACGATCTGTGGGAGTTCAACTGAGGAAATTCCATGGAGAGAAGATCTGCAGTACCATCGGTAGGCGGACTGCATGAACTTTATCAGCAAGTGGCACCTTGAAGCAACTGCTTCTGTAAGACCAGGTAGGATTTGTATGCCAGCTCCTTGAAGAATTCAGTGGGTATTTATTTTATATACAAATCCCAGAGAATGAGTTCTTCCAGAAAGAGACAAAATTGTTTATTTGAACAACAATGAATATAGATCAGGAGAGCTTGAGTCGGCTTGCACCCTGCTTAGCTGGCACTTAGGCATTCAGCGAACTAGGGTCACTGAAGTTCAGTTCCCTATGACTCCCTGACCTCTCTGGCTTACTCAAAGGCACACATTACATATAAAAATATAAAACCTACATGCTTTGTAAATAGATTCTGTTTGATTGAGACCTGTCTTCCTCTCCTTCCCCCTCTTCTTCCACTTCCTCCCTCTGCTCTTCCTTTGCCCCAGCTTCCTCCTCCTTACCCACCTCAGAATCCTCTTTCTACACCCCCACATTCTTTCTTCTGCCTCTTTTCTTCTTCCTCTCTTTTTTTTTATAAGAGATGTATTTATTTTTATTGCAAAGTCAGATATACAGAGAGCAGGAGAGACAGAGAGGAAGAGCTTCCGTCCGATGATTCACTCCCCAAGTGACCACAGCAGCTGGTGCGGTGCCAATCTGAAGCCAAGAGCCAGGAACTTCCTCCAGGTCTCCCATGCAGGTGCAGGGTCTCAAGGCTTTGGGTTGTCCTCGACTGCTTTCCCAGGCCAAGAGTAGGGAGTTAGATGGAAAGCAAGGCCGCCGGGATTAGAACCAGCACCCATGTGGGATCCTGGTGCGTTCAAGGCGAGGACTTTAACCACTAGGTCACTGTGCTGGGTCACTTCTTCTTTTTTAGATTGTTCAGATACCTGAATAGCTGCATTCTCTCAAAGGCTGTCATTTACGCTAAACCAAAATATCAGTCATATTTAGTACCTTAACTTGGCCAATATAGCCTTTGTTTTCACTGAAGTAACCTTTTTGTCAGCCTATTTGTAGTTAGAAATGAAATTAGAACTTTGTGCCATCCCCTTCGAAGTCATTTGGTGATGAATTTCTTTACTGAAAGTTGTAATATCATATTATCATCTCTTTGGCACAATGTTTACTCTTCTGCATAGTTTCTTCATGTCCTCATTATAGACATCATTAGCCTTACTGTTAACTCATAATTTTTCTCTTGTTGAGTAAATTTTATGAAGGTAAGAATCATATTTGTCTTTTTTATTTTCAATATTTGACTTTGTGCTTATTTCATATAATAGTCAACCTGTCTCTTTCTCTTTTTCTCCTCTCCCTCTCTTTATAAATATAAATATATGTATTGTATGTGCTTGCTATTTATATATGGCATCAATATACTCATATGTACACTTATACATATTCATGTACATGTTAATGTCATGAGATATAGTTTATAGAATAAGCTTGATTAATCTGTCTATATTAATGTATATCGATATATATAACATTTTAGTCAGACAAGCATCCATAATTTACTATCACAAAGATTATATACTGCTTTTAATATGCAAAATGGGGAAATATAAATAAATACCACATTGAGATTCCACCTAACTCCAATGAGATTAGCCTACATTCAGAATTTTACTCACAACACTTGCTAACATGAATGTGGGGAGAAAGGTACCCTTCTTCACTGTTGGTGGGAGTGTAGGTTAGTACAACCACTATGGAAGCCAGTATGGAGAGTGTTAAGACAACTGAAAATAGATCTGCCATATGACCCAGCTATTCCGCTTCTGGGAATAGAGCCAAAGCAAATCTGCACATGAGAAACTGGCCTGTAATCCTGTGTGTACAGCAGCACAACTTATAATAGCGAAGACATGGAAACAACCCAGATGTGCATCAACAGAGGAATGGATAAAGAAACTGGAACATCTACTCTATGGAATACTACTTAGTCATTAAAAAAAAATGAAATTCTATCATTTGCAACAAAATGATCCCAACTAGAGACCATTATGCTCAGTGAAATAAGCCAATCTCCAAAGGACAAATATCACATATCCTCTCTGATATAAGGCAAACTTCATGCAAAATACAAAGTATTTTGTAAACATTATGTATACATATTTATCTAGAAAAACTGTATAATGAAGACTATCATACAGACAAGTGAAGATACATTGCAGTGTGCATCTCTACTTCTGAATAAAAGATGCTTTCCCAATGAAACTGTTGACTATATCTTGACACTAGAATTCTGGACTTTCTACCATTGTCTACACCTGCAATGTTACGATACATTTAAATAGCAAAATGTTGGACTTGTGACTGTTGCTGAAGGACTGTACTATTGCAATATTATAGGGGAAATCGGTGGGGAGGACAGGGAATAAGGAGACCCCTGAGGCTATAGAACTGTATAGAAAGAAAGAAAGAAAGAAAGAAAGAAAGAAAGAGAGAGAGAGAGAGAGAGAGAGAGAGAGGGAAGGAAGGAAGGAAGGAAGGAAGGAAGGAAGGAAGGAAGGAAGGAAGGAAGGGAGGAAGGAAGGAAGGGAGGGAAAAAAAGAAAAGAGAAAAGAAAAAGAACCATGGGCCAGCATGTTGGTGTAGCAGCCTAATCCTCCACTTGTTAGTGCCAGCATCCCATATGGGATCACAAAATGATCTCACAAAGACATAAGATCCTTTGGCAAACTGTAAACATAAACATGGTATTTATTTGTTCTCCCATTTTAAAAATAATGAGATTCTCTTAATAGTGTGGTGATTTATGTTTTTGCCACAAGCTCTTGCCAAGCCAGAAATGTTACTTTAGAAGGAGACTTCACATGTGTTAGGTCATTTTCACAAGATTGTTACTATCTTAATATCATAGAGGAGGAAATATATTCTCATTGTACACTTACACAATCCCCAACTTTCAACTTAGGATTCTTCATCTCCAATGTAGTAAAAATGATGCACTTTCAATAGAAACCACAGTGCAAATTTTAATTCTGGTCTTTTCCCAGGCTAGTGACATGTGGCACGATACCCTCCTTACTGCTCCAAGCAGCAGGAAACGGCAGCTCCCGGGAAGCCACGCAGTAAGAATAACTTCTTGGTTTTCTGCATTGCACTGTGCTAATAAACGAGGGTACTTGGGAAATTAGGTGTGTTGAGTGCATTTTCCATTTACGATAACGTAAATCTACGATGGATTTATTGAGCTATAACTCCACGATATGTTGAGATATATTTGTACAAAGATCAGGATTAACTTTGGTTTGAAACCACCCCAAATCCTCTTCCTAAGTATGAGAGTCACCAAAAAGATGAAATACTTTATAGAAAAATTGAGAAAAATGGGAACCAGGATACTCACCTGCTAATACTGTGGCCAGGGCAGTTACTAGAAGCACCAGAAAGAAGATGACGATGACAATTTTAAAGATGCAAAATCTCTTTTTGTTCTGCTTTGGAGGTTCTTGTGTCTCTATGGTAAAGTATAGAAGTCTGTAAGATGCTAGAGTAATATTAATAAATACAAACCAATAATGTTTGTACACTGACAAATTATATGTTAAATAAGTGGGGATAACTGTCTTCGCACAGCTAAACACACAATATTTTGAATCTGTCAACTGTACCATTCATCTGTAGCTCCTTCATGCTTTCAAGCAAAAATCTCAGGAAACGGCTCTGTTATTTCATTCTGTTTAAGTTGTTTCTAACATTT